CCCGATTGCGCAACGGATCAAATTCAAAATCCTAACACTGACATACAAAGCCGTCCACCATACTGCCCCGAACTACATCACTGACCTAATATCCAAGTACCGCCCAACACGCACACTCCGCTCCTCACAAGACCTCCTTCTCTCTAGTTCCCTGGTCTCCTCCTCCCATGCCCGCCTTCAGGACTTCTCCAGGGTGTCACCCATCCTCTGGAACTCCCTGCCCCAACCCATCAGATTATCACCTACTCTCCTCTCCTTTAGGCGCACCCTGAAAACCCATCTCTTCAGGGAAGCCTACCCTACCCCCTGCTAACTTGACCGACCTCCTAATCTCTTCCTACCACCCCATCCCCCACAGCTGTCTCCTCCTGTGCCACCATCCCCTCCCTCCTAGATTGTAAGCTCCAAGGAGCAGGGCCCTCGATCCCCTCATGTTTTGCATTATATTGGTATTGTTCTGTCACATGTTCTGTCCCCCTCTGTAATGTACAGCGCTGAGCCAACTATTGGCGCTTTATAAATACTGTATAATAATAATAATAATGAGATGCCGTTGGTACCTTTCATAGGCTTTTTTGGGTGCGGTTTAAGTGTGGATGAGGACACAGGGGCCCCATGATCCCCTGTTGCCCGGGGACCCCATGAGTTGTCAGTCCGCCTCTGGGCAGAAGTATCTCCCGATGTACAGCATGGGAAACTGATTGGAATGCTGTACCTTGTAGTACTCAAATATGTCCACAAGGTGGTGATGTCATGCAGCTCTCTTTTTGCTTACATGTTCAGCGTTTGCCAATTGGAAAAGGAGAAGAAAGATCCCGTCTGAGAATGCGATGGTTCCAGAAAGAGAACAGGTCAAAAGTTTTGGAAAGTCAGTCCCTATTCGGTCCATGTTACATTGTCCCCGGACCCCGCATTCACTATATCCGCTCTCCCCGGACCCCGCATTCACTATATCCGCTCTACCCGGACCCCGCACTCACTATATCCGCTCTCCCCGGACCCCGCATTCACTATATATGTCTACGGATCCCGCATCCACTATATCCACTCTCCACGGACCCCGCATTCGCTATATCCGCTCTCCCCGGACCCCGCATTCACTATATCCGCTCTCCCCGGACCCCGCATTCACTATATATGCTCTCCCCGGACCCCGCATTCACTATATCCGCTCTCCCCGGACCCCGCATTCACTATATCCGCTCTCCCCGGACCCCGCATTCACTGTATCCGCTCTCCACGGACCCCGCATTCACTATATCCGCTCTCCCCGGACCCCGCATTCACTATATCCGCTCTCCCGGACCCCGCATTCACTATATCCGCTCTCCCCGGACCCCGCATTCACTATATCCGCTCTCCCCGGACCCCGCATTCACTATATCCGCTCTCCCCGGACCACGCATTCACTATATCCGCTCTCCCCGGACCCCGCATTCACTATACCCGCCTGCTCCCCGGACCCCGCATTCACTATATCCGCTCTCCCCGGACCCCGCATTCACTATATCCGCTCTCTCCCCGGACCCTGCATTCACTATATCCGCTCTCCCCGGACCCCGCATTCACTATATCCGCTCTCCCCGGACCCCGCATTCACTATATCCGCTCTCCCCGGACCCCGCATTCACTGTATCCGCTCTCCCCGGACCCCGCATCCACTATATCTGGTCTCTACGGACCCGGCAGAATCTGGTGCAGCTGTTTACAGGAGCCAATCAGCTTTTAGCTTCAGCTTGTTCAGTTAAGCTTTGGCAATAAATCCCGGAGCTGCACCAGATTTTGTACTCTGCAGTGTTAGTAAATATCCTCCTAATGTCATCCAGGCAGAGCTTACGTCTACTTTACAGCTGAAGTTCAATTTGTATATATTTGTCATTCCCTGGCCCATCCCTCCCATCAATGTGCTAATGAAATATTTAACTAAAACCTTTCCGTTTTCATTACAGATCTTATTTTGATCTCTGTGATGTCATCTCCAGGTCTCTGCGCTTCTCTATGCAATGCAGGCAGATCATGGCTGGTGGGGGAGGGTCCAGCAGGGGACTGTACATAGCTTCCTGAAAACATCTCAGCACCCTGCCTCAGTGCTCCTCTCAAGAGCCAAGCAGTGGGAGGGGTTATGCAAATATAATGCCTTGATGGAGTGGGCGCTCCTGTTTTTACATACAGCACCGTGCAAAAGTGTTGTGCAGTTGTGGAAAAAAATGCTGTAAATGAAGAATGATTTCAGAATTCGAAGTGTTAACAGTTTATTGTTGATCAATTAACAAAATGGAAAGTAAATGAAGAGAAATCCAAATCCAATCAATATTTGGAGGGATCCCCCCCCCATATCCTGTGAGCAGTATTGGGGTGACCCCCCCCCCCTTACCTTCTTCTAGGTAGACTTGCACCCAATGAAGGAACTCTGCCGGTAGGTCGTTCTCTGTCCATCTCGGAGGACTAAGCCCAGATCTTCTGTGGATGTCGGCCGCCTCCAATCCTTCGGTCTCTTCATGTCATCCCAGACAGACTCCATGGTGGGGAGATCGGGGCTCTGTGGGGGCCGAACCATCACTTCCAGGACTCCTTGTTCTTCTTAGATAGTTCCTGATGACATTGGCTGGATGTTGGGGGGGTTGTCCTGCTGCAGAATACATTTGAGGCCAATCACACGCCTCCCTGATGGCATGATGGAGAAGTATCTGCTGGTATTTCTCAGCATTGATGACACCATTGATTGGGTAACATTGAGTGTAGACTCAGTGTTCAGGTAACGTTGAGGAGTGTAGACGCAGTGGTCGGGTAACGTTGAGGAGTGTAGACGCAGTGGTCGGGTAACGTTGAGGAGTGTAGACGCAGTGGTCGGGTAACGTTGAGGGGTGTAGACGCAGTGGTCGGGTAACGTTGAGGTGTGTAGACGCAGTGGTCGGGTAACGTTGAGGGGTGTAGACGCAGTGGTCGGGGGGTGTAGAGACGCAGTAACGTTGAGGGGTGTAGACGCAGTGGTCGGGTAACGTTGAGGGGTGTAGACGCAGTGGTCGGGTAACGTTGAGGGGTGTAGACGCAGTGGTCGGGTAACGTTGAGGGGTGTAGACGCAGTGGTCGGGTAACGTTGAGGGGTGTAGACGCAGTGGTCGGGTAACGTTGAGGAGTGTAGACGCAGTGGTCGGGTAACGTTGAGGAGTGTAGACGCAGTGGTCGGGTAACGTTGAGGAGTGTAGACGCAGTGGTCGGGTAACGGTGAGGAGTGTAGACGCAGTGGTCGGGTAACGGTGAGGAGAGTAGATGCAGTGTTCGGGTAACGTTGTGGGGTGTAGACGCAGTGGTCGGGTAACGTTGAGGAGTGTAGACGCAGTGGTCGGGTAACGTTGAGGGGACGCAGTGGTCGGGTAACATTGAGGAGCGTAGACGCAGTGGTCAGGTAACATTGAGGAGGGTAGACGCAGTGGTCGGGTAACATTGAGGAGCGTAGATGCAGTGGTTGGGTAATGTTGAGGAGTGTAGATGCAGTGGTTGGGTAATGTTGAGGGAGTGTAGATGCAGTGGTTGGGTAATGTTGAGGAGTGTAGACGCAGTGGTCGGGTAACATTGAGGAGAGTAGACGCAGTGGTTGGGTAACATTGAGGAGTGTAGACGCAGTGGTCGGGTAACATTGAGGAGTGTAGACGCAGTGGTCAGGTAACAATAAGAGTGTAGAGCAGAGTGTAACATGAGTAGTGTAGACGCAGTGGTTGGGTAATGTTGAGGAGTGTAGACGCAGTGGTCGGGTAATATTGAGGAGAGTAGATGCAGTGGTTGGGTAACATTGAGGAGTGTAGACGCAGTGGTCGGGTAACATTGAGGAGAGTAGATGCAGTGGTCGGGTAATATTGAGGAGAGTAGATGCAGTGGTCGGGTAACATTGAGGAGAGTAGATGCAGTGGTTGGGTAATATTGAGGAGAGTAGATGCAGTGGTCGGGTAATATTGAGGAGTGTAGACGCAGTGGTCGGGTAACATTGAGTAGTGTAGACGCAGTGGTTGGGTAATGTTGAGGAGTGTAGACGCAGTGGTTGGGTAACATTGAGGAGTGTAGACGCAGTGGTCGGGTAATATTGAGGAGCGTAGACGCAGTGGTTGGGTAACATTGAGGAGTGTAGACGCAGTGGTCGGGTAACATTGAGTAGTGTAGACGCAGTGGTTGGGTAATGTTGAGGAGTGTAGACGCAGTGGTTGGGTAATATTGAGGAGCGTAGACGCAGTGTTGGGTAACATTGAGGAGTGTAGACGCAGTGGTCGGGTAACATTGAGTAGTGTAGACGCAGTGGTTGGGTAATGTTGAGGAGTGTAGACGCAGTGGTCGGGTAATATTGAGGAGCGTAGACGCAGTGGTTGGGTAACATTGAGGAGTGTAGATGCAGTGGTTGGGTAACATTGAGGAGTGTAGACGCAGTGGTCGGGTAACATTGAGGAGTGTAGACGCAGTGGTTGGGTAATGTTGAGGAGTGTAGACGCAGTGGTCAGGTAATGTTGAGGAGCGTTGACGCAGTGGTCAGGTAACGTTGAGGACTGTATAAGCAGTGGTCAGGTAAGGAGAGGGGATTTGGGGAGGGAGAGGATTTGAGATGGGAGGGGGTTGGTGGGAGATTTGCGCTGGATTGGTGATTTGCAGAAAAATCACAGCAGGTGCTCTGGACTGAGGAGTCAAAGTGTGAAGTATTTGTCTGTAGCAGGAGGCAGTTTGTTGGCTGGAGATCGGCACAATAATGAATGTCTGCAGCCAACTGTGAAGCATTGTGGAGGTTCTTTGCAAGTTTGGGGCTTCATTTCTGTAAATGGAGTTGGAGATTTGGTCGGGATCAATGGTGTCCTCAATCCTGAGAAATACCGGCAGATACTTCTCCATCATGTCATACCATCAGGGAAGCGCGTGATTGGCCCCAAATGTATTCTGCAGCAGGACATCCACCCCCCCCGCCCCCCCCCAAACATCCAGCCAATGTCATCAGGAACTATCTAAGAAGAACAAGGAGTCCTGGAGGTGATGGAACGCATTCTTTACAGCATTTATTCACAGCTGCCTACAACTTTTGCACAGTACTGTAGGCAACACCCACATGTGATACCGAGCCTCCATGACTGAAAGAACTGAAATCCAATGAATGAAAGGGGCGGGGCCAGGGACAGTCAGGCTGGGGAGGAAAGGGCTAGAAGATGCTGGACATCCTCCAGCCAGGAAATGAGGCAGAGCTCTATCTGACTGGCTGAAGCTTCTAATGCATACTCTGAGAAGCTCAGAGTGTGCAGTGAAATCAGAGGAAGCCATTCAAGTCCAGGAGAGGAGACGGCACACCTGTGCAAGACTGGAGGGGAGGAGCCTGTACACCTGTGCAAGACTGAAAGGGAGGAGACGGTACACCTGTGCAAGACTGAAGAGGAGGAGCCGGTACACCTGTGCAAGATTGAAGGGGAGGAGCCGGTACACCTGTTCAAGACTGAAGGGGAGGAGCCGGTACACCTGTGCAAGACTGAAGGGGAGGAGCCGGTACATCTGTGCAAGACTGAAGGGGAGGAGCTGGTACGCCTGTGCAACACTGGAGGGGAGGAGCTGGCACACCTGTGCAAGACTGAGGGGAGGAGCTGGTACAACTGTGCCAGACTGAAGGGGAGGAGCTGGTACACCTGTGCAAGACTTTAGGGGAGGAGCCGGTACACCTGTGCAAAACAGGAGGGGAGGAGCCAGTACTCCTGTGCAAGACTAAAGGGGAGGAGCCGGTACATCTGTGCAAGACTGAAGGGGAGGAGCCGGTACACCTGTGAAATACTGGAGGGGAGGAGCCTGTACACCTGTGCAAGACTGAAGGGGAAGAGCTGGTACCCCTGTACAAGACTGGAGGGGAGGAGCCCGGTACCCCTGTACAAGACTGGAGGGGAGGAGCTGGTACACCTGTGCAAGACTGGAGGGGAGGAGCTGGTACCCCTGTACAAGACTGGAGGGGAGGAACCGGTACACCTGTGCAAGACTGGAGGGGAGGAGCCGGTACACCTGTACAAGACTGGAGGGGAGGAGCCGGTACCCCTGTACAAGACTGGAGGGGAGGAGCCGGTACCCTTGTACAAGACTGGAGGGGAGGAGCCGGTACCCCTGTACAAGACTGGAGGGGAGGAGCAGGTACACCTGTGCAAGACTGGAGGGGAGGAGCCGGTACCCCTGTGCAAGACTGGAGGGGAGGAACCGGTACACCTGTGCAAGACTGGAGGGGAGGAGCCGGTACCCCTGTACAAGACTGGAGGGGAGGAGCCGGTACACCTGTACAAGACTGGAGGGGAGGAGCCGGTACACCTGTACAAGACTGGAGGGGAGGAACCGGTACACCTGTACAAGACTGGAGGGGAGGAGCCGGTACACCTGTACAAGACTGGAGGGGAGGAGCCGGTACACCTGTACAAGACTGGAGGGGAAGAGCCGGTACACCTGTACAAGACTGGAGGGGAGGAGCCGGTACACCTGTACAAGACTGGAGGGGAGGAGCCGGTACCCTTGTACAAGACTGGAGGGGAGGAGCCGTTACATCTGTGCAAGACTGGAGGGGAGGAGCCGGTACACCTGTACAAGACTGGAGGGGAGGAGCCTGTACACCTGTACAAGACTGGAGGGGAGGAGCCGGTACACCTGTGCAATACTGGAGGGGAGGAGCCGGTACACCTGTGCAATACTGGAGGGGAGGAGCCGGTACACCTGTGCAATACTGGAGGGGAGGCCGGAGGTCAGAATGAAGAACAATGGCCGGTCCGTAGACCATAACGATGAAATAAAGAAATCTCGTACAATCATGAACAGTTATCTCTTTTTAATATATAATACACTTTCAAAATATTCACCCGCCCTCATTTTACAGAGACCAAAAAAAAAAAGTTCTGAATAACGAAAAAGGGAGGAGTCTCCCCCGTCACTGAGGGTTAGAAGGATTCTCTATCGATGACTAGAAACGGAAAGGAAGGAACTTTGATCGTCACGATATCGGCAATGGCGGGAAGCGGGTTAGTTACACACCGAAGAAGAAAGAAACAAAAACGGTTTCCGGGATGAGTGAAGGCATGGCGCGGCTTGTGCTTCTGGAGTAAAAATCGATCCATTGTTAACAGCGAACTCGGCACAGTTATAGACGTCGCTAGGACAAGTCAGCGTTAGAGATTAGCGTCCGATATACACTGAACAGGGACAACCAAGAGGAGTCGGTTAGTTTTCTAGTAAAATAGACAAGGCAACTTCTTTATTGTACAATTCAGACCACGCTGAGGGCCACCCAACCCAACCCAAAAGGCATTGAGGATTGCTCAACCCAACCCAGGGTTCTGAGGGCCACCCAACCCAACCCAGAGGCATTGAGGATTGCTCAACCCAACCCAGGGTGCTGAGGGCCACCCAACCCAACCCAACCCAGAGGCATTGAGGATTGCTCAACCCAACCAGGGTGCTGAGGGCCACCCAACCGAACCCAACCCAGAGGCATTGAGGATTGCTCAACCCAACCCAGGGTGTTGAGGGCCACCCAACCCAGAGGCATTGAAGATTGCTCAACCCAACCCAGGGTGCTGAGGGTCACCCAACCCAAAGGCATTGAGGATTGTTCAACCCAAGCCAGGGCTCTGAGGCCCACTCAACTCAACCCAAGATGCTGAGAGCCACTCAACCCAACCCAGAGGCGCTGAAGACCGATCAACCCAATCCCAGGGCACTGAGGGCCACCTAACCCAACCCAGAGGCATTGAGGATTGCTCAACCCAACCCAGGGTGCTGAAGGCAACCCAACCCAGAGGCATTGAGGATTGCTCAACCCAACCCAGGGTGCTGAGGGCCACCCAACCCAGAGGCATTGAGGATTGCTCAACCCAACCCAGGGTGCTGAGGGCCACCCAACCCAACCCAGAGGCATTGAGGATTGCTCAACTCAGCCCAGGGTGCTGAGGGCCACCCAACCCAATGCAGAGGCATTGAGGATTTCTCAACTCAGCCCAGGGTGCTGAGGGCCACTCAACCCAACCCAAGAGCTCTGAGGGCCACCCAACCCAGAGGCATTGAGGATTGCTCAACCCAACCCAGGGCTCTGAGGCCCACTCAACCCAACCCAAAGTCGCTTAAGGCCGCTCAACCCATCAACCCAACCCAGGGTTCTGAGGGCCACTCAACCCAACCCAGAGGCATTGAGGATTGCTCAACCCAATCCAGGGCGCTGAGGGCCACTCAACCCAACCCAGGGCACTGAGGGCCACTCAACCCAACCCAACAGCGCTGAGGACCGCTCAACCCAACCCAGGGCACTGAGGGCCACTCAACCCAACCCAAAGGTGCTGAGGACTACTCAATCCAACCAAGGACACTGAGGGCCACTGAACCCAATGTTCTGAGGGCCGCTCAACCCAAACCCAAGACACTGAGGGCCACTCAACCCAATCCAATCCTTTAAGAGCTACTCAACCAAACCCAAGGCGCTGGGGGCTGCTCAACTCATCCCAAGGCATTGGAGGCTGCTCAATCCAAGGCGCTGGGGGTCGCTCAACCCAACGTGATGAGGGTCACTCAACCCATTTTACACATCGTCTTATGTAAAAGAACTTCTAATAACATTCAAAGACTTCAACATTTGGATAAGATGATGGTGGGGTGGTGGGAGGAGATGTCCTCCAACCCTCAGCTCAGTTCCTGTCCAGAAAGACCATGTGACCAGTTTTGGAGACATGTTTAGGAGTGCCTAAAAAATGGTCATAAACTTATTTAAAGAGCTTATTGAACTGAAACTTCAGATACAACCAACGCCTTTCGGGGACCATGGGAAGAACAATACAAATATTCGGTTCAGATGGTGTTGTATATTCTTGTTCCTTCTACGTCTATAGGATGACTATACTGTATATCTTAGATCATATGTGTCAAACACAAGGCCCGTGGGCCGAACCTGGCCAACCAGGTCATTTCATGTAGCCTTCCCACCTCTCCTGAAACTGCGGCACCCCCCTTGTCTCCACCCCCCACCCTGTCTCACCAATCAGCAGCAGAGAGGAGGACAGAACTCCTCCTACAGATCCTGTGCTTCTCTGTGAAGCCACAGCACCCTTTCATCTCCACCTCTCCACGGTCTCAGCATTCAGCAGACTCCAGCCTCCTCCTCCAGAACCTGCACATTCTGCTTCCCAGCACCACCCTAAGCTTCAGTCTCAGCATCAGCAACACAAGGTGAGGGGGTCACTGTCATGTAAGGGAGGGTGGGGGATTCTTAATTTCTGATGGTATGGGGGCTCTTGACAGTTGATGTAAAGGGGGGAGGGGTGTTCAGGACGTCTTACAGATACAACCGGCCCTTTGAGGGCAGCCATAATGCTGATGCGGCCCGCCATGAAATTGAATTATTAGAAACTCTTGCCTTAGATGATATTCTAATTGTCCTTTTACATGTCAGCCCTGAAGAAGAGAAGTCCATTCACCCGAAACGCGTCGGACATTTTTTTTTTTTTTTTTTTTTTAATAGGCACTCCTAAACACAATCCTGGATCTGATCTTCTGGTGATCCCTCCATCATGATCAGAGAGACAGCAACTTGATACCTGAAAGTGGATCTGAACCCTAAAACTATTTTGCCCTTAGCCCCCCCCCCCACTCCCACCCCCCAACACACACATATGGATATTTTTTTTGTTTGGTTTTTAATTTGTGTTTCAAAGGAGCATTTTTTTGGCCTAAATGAGAATGACCTAAAAATGGACAAAGAATGGATAGAGGAGAAACCGAGGGCACCAGCATCCCAATAGATCCATCAAACCAAAAAGTAGGGGTTCCAGCAAAAGGATACATATATATGATAATAATACAAAGTGTATAATAACAGATACGTCTGTTCTGATACAATTTTGTGTCGATAAAATGAATCTGTTTTTATATACGTATCCTTTGTCGGCACCTCAAAAGTCCCCAAAAGTCCCCTTCTTGAAATACTTCATGGTTTGATAGGGTACTAGGACAGGGGTGTCAAACTGGCGGCCCTCCAGCTGTTGCGAAACTGCAAGTCCCATCCACTGAACATTCAAGCACTCGGGCACTGCCCGAGGGCCCGGGATCAGTAGGGGGCCCCACGAGATGCCCCTGGTACCTTTTTCATAGGCTTTTTTGGGTGTGGGCAAGGACACAGGGGCCCCATGATCCCCTATTGCCCGGGGGCCCCATGAGTTGTCAGTCCGCCCCTGGTCCCATCATGCTCCTGTCTGTGGGAGTCATGTTTGTAACTGTCAATCTTGCGATGCCTCATGGGACTTGTAGTTTGGTAACAGCTGGAGGGGCACCAGGGGCGGAGTAAGAACTTATGGGGCCCCTGGGCAATAGGGGATCATGGGGCCTCTGTGTCCTCGCCCACACTCAAACCACACCCAAAAAAGCCTATGAAAGGTACTAGGAGCATCTCATGGGGCCCCCTACTGACCCTGGGCCCTCAGGCAGTGCCCGAGAACTCCAATGGTCAGTTCTCCCCTGAGTGGCACCAGTTTGACACCCGTGCTCTAGGATGTGCCTGTGCAGATGTGCTGCAGGGCTTCAGGTCTTGCAGATGTGTGGGAATCCCAACTGCATATGAATGGCTTTCCCACACATTTGCGCAAGTGCAGCTTTCCCCATGCGTGTGCAAAGATGGCAGTTACGGGAGTCCCAAACCTCTACCGAAGGAAATCCCCTGCACAGGCACAGATGTGTCAGAGGGTCCTGCCAGGACCTGAAGGCCAGGTAAAGCCCTCTGCACATCTGCACACATGCCGTAATCATGAAAATGGCAGCGCGGGGACACAAAACCCAAGAATACAGATGTGGTATGTTGCAGCGTGCAGCCTTTACATGTGGGGACTGCATT